TGTAGAACCCTGGGACCCCAGCCCTCACTGACTAATGCCAGCAGAGCCCCCATGTCACTGGGGGAACCAAAAAGCACATTTCTGAATAGCCCTAGGGGTCAAAACCACCACCAGTTAAACACTGCTACCTCATCTAATATCTCATTTAAACCCACAGCAAGAGAGCCATGCCAGGGGCTCCAATCTGCGTCACTACTGCAGCCCTTTCTAGAGTTCTCTTCCGTTTTTCTCTGTTCATCTAGATTTCTCCCCCTCTCACTCTAGTCACTAGAACTTAGCATGCCCCCAGTGATTCCCTTATCTCCCCTGCAAAGCCCCAACCTCCTCCTCCTCCATCCTGGCTAACACAACCTCACCAGTCAACTGGGCAGAGACCTCAAGGCAAGCTGACCCCTGCCTTTCCCACCTGGTGCAAGCGAGTCCAGGTCTAAGTATCTGGAGTCCTCCCCGCGGCCCTCCACTGCAACTGCCTCCGATCTCGTCATCCTCAATCCCTCCACAGTAACCCCACTGTGCTCTCCCCAGTGCAGCCACACCAGCCCCTACCTAGCATCTACAAGGCTCCACATCAGCAATGCTGAGGTTCCTCAGCCAAGACTGGAAACTCCTCAGACACACAAAGGCCTCCCCCAGGCTCCCCAAGGGCCCTACATCCAAAACCTCCAGTAAGACCCAAACTTGCCCATTTTGGGGGGAAGTGCCCCGTGCTGGGGTGCCTCTGCACACAGGTCAGGATCCTCCCCCAGCCACCCCTGGCCCAGAAGACCTCCAGCTGCAGGACAGACGGGACCAGCTGACATACCCTGCAACCTAGGAGCCTTCAGAGGAAGAGGCTCAGAGTGCTGACCACATGGGAGGGACACACCTGATGAACAGCATCAGCCAGAACCTGAGTGGACTTTGTCCCTTCCTGCCTGTTTTCAGGCCATGTCAGCTCACACAGAAGGGCCTCCTGGTGTTAATCACTGGCAACAGTGAAGAACGGGGACCTCAACAAAGGGCACAGACCACACCGTGAACCTGGCTCTTGAGGCTGTTCTGACCTCCACCTCCACTCAACATGCCGTCACCTGCAGCCAACCTCCCCCAGGTGAGAGAGGAGCAACCTGGGCAGCCCTGCTGTGATCACCAACAGCACGGCTGAACCCGGCTCCTGGTATCACCGCAGACACTGATCACGTGCTTCTGGGAGATTTTTAATTCACATTTCCTCGGGACTAGACAGTCTCCTCTGGTGGCACACTAATATTAGCGAACACCTTGAAGTCCCACCAGTAGGCAGAGCACCATGGAGTGAGCTCTGAACGTGGCGAAGGCTGTGTGGGACTGCAAGGGAACCAGCACCTCAAGGTGGATCAGACCAGCCGCTGTGCTGTCAGTCACCCCAGAGCCTGGGTATCCTGTGACAGTCATACTTCACTCGGAGACACATCACCCACTCAAACACTGCAGCAGTTCAAGTGAAAACAGAGCGAAAATGTCAAGGATGAGGGTATCTCGGTCTTTCTCCTTTAATGGAGGCTGAGAAGTTGGCGGGTTTTTTTATTAGTGCATATTAATCACAAAGAACAAGGGTTCCGCTGTGGTCAATTGGCTCACGCACAGAACACGCCATGACCCTCGCCTTCCCCTACGCCCCTGACCCTCCCCTCCCTGATCCCATCTTCTTCTCCAGTTCAAACCAGCTGTTTACTATAAGCTACAATATTAATGAAAACTTTTCAATAAAATCATGAAGGATCTGAATTTTGCAAATGATTAAAATTAACACAGAATTTAATCAACGGTTTAAGCACAACGACGTAATTCAGGATTAACTTGTTGTGATTTGTCAGGCACTGACCTGTCCAGCTTCCTCCCCTGTTTTGTCTTGGCTCCCATCTCTTACTATTTTTCCTTTTCTGCGTAAACACCGTATGTATTGTACATGCTGAGATTACAGAAAAACACGAAGAAATTTAAAAGATTCACAATTCTATCAACCTTTATGTTCTGATAAGTTGCCTTCCCCATTAATAAAATCTAATGCAATTTAAAATCCACTCTTTGGATCTGCTATATAATCTGAAACATGAAAATTTTATCATATTATTAATCCATTAAGCCCCAAGTTTTCGATTCTGTGAATGTGATAAATATTTAAATATTATTTCACAGTTAAAACAAGTGGTATATTTGTTTCTCAGTTTGAGTTATTACAGGTGTTCGCATCAGGGGTGATGGATAAAATGGGTTAAATAATCCTCTAAATATTTTTATTGGTTGTATAATTGTTCGTTATGTAGATATACGTGACACAAATCATCACTGTACATTTCCCAATCCTTCTAGAATCTCCTACCCTTGTTTTTTCACCCACTGGGAGTGATGCGATCCACCTGCTTCCTGACCACAAGCTCACACTGACATGCACTGCTTGACTCTCCCGGGCCACAGTGGACTGAGCGTAGGAAGTGTCCCATGAGAATACAGGGGAGCTGACCCACTCTCATGGCCTCGTGACCCCACAGCTATGGTGAAGCGGCATCACCCTAGGCTGCTCCAGGGTGATGCTGGTGGCAGAACCTAACCCCATGGCCAGCTGGCTTGTGTGCATATGCTACAACCCTTGTAATTCCTCCTGAGACTCCAAGAGCCCGGCTCACTAGCAAGCTGCCTCGGCACACTCTGTTGTAAAGGCTGTCACACAAAGCTTGCAAGAAATCATAAGCACCCCATACCAAATAACTCAAATCATCACCAAACAAATGAAGGCACAGGCACACGCTCTTCAAGCTTAAGGGAGTACCTTGCACTTTAATGCTTTGGTGTCTGATGGATTCAAGTTACCTTCATCATTTCCACTTGCTGCGTGATTCTGTCAACTTCTCACACAAGATGCCTGAACTGGCCTCTCTCTTTCTGAGCAGGAGAATGCTAATACATTTGCCTCTCCTAGTTAAGCAAGTGATTCCCTGGGATTCGCTAAGTTGACTGTGCATATCCAACTGCTGAGCCAGACTCAAAAATATTCTTGGGTTTCAGCAAGAAGAAAACTCCTTCCTTTCCCTGCTTTTGGTGATGTAAGTACTTCCCTCGAATTCTAATTAATTTCAACATCACAGAGAAATAACAGCACTGCTAATAATTACTGAAAATATCTCAGATGGCTCTTATTTACCTGAAAAACTTGTAAGAGAAATACAAACTAAAACTTTACTCAGACAATCTTTCTTGCCCATTAAGTTGACAAAAACCTAGAGTTCTCTTGGCATTCTCTGCTGGAAAGGCTGTGGGAAGGAGGTGCTTGTCTGCTCCAGAGCCCTGCAGAATGGCACTACTGTGATGAGCAGAAATTTACAATAAATAATAAACTGTTATATGCCTTTACACTTACATCTAGCAATTCCACTTCTAGGAAACCACTCCTAAGACAAAATAATAACAATGCACAATGATGGAAGAACAAAGCAGGAACCTTGCAACAGTGAGACCAAAGATACCCTAAAGCCCAGAAAGTGGGTGGGAGGGACAGAGTTTAACCCACTTCTAAAGGCAGAGTCACACTTACATCTCCTGGGAAGGAACAGCTATCCCCACACTCCACCTGGGGAACCCTCACATCTGCCAGGAAGGAACACCTGTCTCTGGCTATGTACAAAAAAGTGGAAAACCACTCAGCACTGAGCACCTGGGGCATTCCCTTTAAGTCTTAAAACACTACTTCACACCAAGACACCAAGGAAGATGGCCAATTCCAGGCCAGAGGGAAGAAGTGAAAGCATGATCCTCTAGCTCCTAAAGCTCCAGACAGCAAGAACATGATCCAAGATTGCTAAGGTAAAAGTGGAGAAGGATCAATAAATATATAACTTGAATTTTCCCCCTAGGAACATTAGGTAGATGTGCATTGTTCTTTCCAGAAATAGTCCAGCTAGTAAATGAGTAAGGAGCAATAAATTAGATGACATTAACATTTAATCAGATAATAAATTAGAAAGCATTAGTGCAATGAATTAACAGAGCTGACGATGATCGCCAGCCACACAACACGTGCCTTCTGGGAAGTGTTGCAGGACCAATGGCCTGCTTTCCTCAGTTAAAACTTGGAAGGGAAAACGGTGGAAATAGATAGAGAAATTCTAGCGTAGATACGTAATGATCTCCAAGATTCAGGTGAAAAAAGTAAGCAGTGGAACACGTTTATAGTGCGCTATGATTTAAGCAAACACAAGGCAAAAAGACATTTCCATAAAGAATCATAAACGAGTTCTAAAACCATGCACCAAAAGAGTGGTGCTTTTCTTATCTCTCAGGTGGCCAAGGAACCACAGCACAGGAGGGACATCTGACTGGAGAGCCTTGTATATTATGGATTTTTAAGACATGTGAACCTATTATTTATATTTTTAAAAAAGAATAAAATAGGTGAAAAATGAGCAATGATGGGTATGATCATAATACTCTAATTTATGCAAAAAATGTTCTTAAATACTGAAGTAGTTATAAATAAAACACTCTCTGTAAACTTGGAAATACTTAACCAAAAAGAAAAGATAAGCAAATATGGAAAATTCTTAAGCTCATAGCTCTGAGAGTGTGAAAATCATGCAACTTCATCTACTTTTCATGACAAAAAGTGAAGCAAAAAATTAAATAAAATAAAACTAAAATAATGTTCCATTGTAGCCAGACAAGCCCACAGAGGATGGAAGTGTGAGTCTACTCTTTCTTTATTTCTAAAATACAAGAGCTCCTACTGGCACGGAACCAAGACTGTCCATGTGATCAGAAGGGGCAGAGGCAACTGATGTGGGGAGACAGGAGTGAAGGGACCCTCGTGGCTGCCTGCTGGGAGTCTGTCTACCCACCAGCCACTGGACACACGGCTTAAAACCCGTTCAAGGAACAGAGACAGAGGCTGACGGCAGGAGCCAAGGGTACACAGGACGCCTTCTGAGGCACAGGGCGTCCACAGGCCAGCCACGCCTGGCCTGCAGTGCCAAGGGAAGCACACTCACTTTTTGCTGGCCTCACACACGTCCGTGATGTTGGAGAAGAGGTGGTGTCTCTCGGTCTTCGTCATCGTATCGCTCAGTTCTTTAGAATTTTTAAACATTCGTATCAAGATCTCCAAGCTGAGTAAATACGAATGTTCGGAGGATATGACTTCAAAGATGGCCTGGTAAGAGTGAAAAAGAACTATTTTACTAATTAGTTTAACTGAAGGACAAATATAGCTTTTTGTCCTGTGGTAAGAATGGCCTGATGTCTTAAAATGCACAAAAAAGACAGCAGGTTCCAGTCCTGTCTTGGTAAGGTCCAAATACCCAAATCCTGAGACAGCCTCTGTGCACAGTGGGAATCAGGAGAGACTGTGCCCTGAGGCCATGCCTCTGTAGAGGCTGGAATCCGGGAGGAAGCCAGGGTGTCATAAAATCTCAGTGGGACATTAATTAACCTTGGGGTCATCCTCTCCAGCACTGCTTTCAAAGCATGCTGCTTCAGGGACAGGAAGAATTTATGGCTATCCCTTGGGATTCAGAAATCCCTTCCTCCACATCCCTCCCCTCCCTTCCCCTCAGTGTGTGCTCTTTCTCTCCCTTATTTTTTTTTTAATTTTTTAATTGATTTTTTAAAAATAAAAAACTAATCAATAACAATAGCAAATATTCCAGCACGACTGGGCCTATCTTCAAAAGGTTCTTATCAGCCACAGGAATTCTTTCATACAAACTCACATAATTGAGAGTAACTCTGTTCAACAAGCCACCCACTCTTTCTACTCTCCTCACTGTCTCAAGAAGGAGCAAAGGACTCTCTGCAGAACTCTTGGTGTCAGGCACGCTCTGGTTTTCCTGATGAGTGTGGGTGATGGACATGCCAACCCCACCTGTGCATATTCAACAACACCCTGGGGAGGAATCCAGCAGCTCCCATCCGCAGGGTCAATCACAGAGCCTCCAAGGTCCATGACACAGGGGGAGGTCCTCTTTAGAGGGATGGTGAACATCCTGCAGGCCAGAGACCAACATCCTTCCTGGCGACCTCACCACCCTCACCTCTAGCCCCCTCCCCTCAGGCCCCTGTACCAAGGAGTATGGCCTGGGGGTGGGGTGGGAGCTGGCAGCCCAGGCTGCAGTGTGCACATAGGTTCCTGGGCTAATCTTGGTGTTCACCTCCCTCTTGAGCATCCAACAAGGCCTCAGAGCCTTAGATCTTACTTGAGTGTGCTGGTGGAGCCCAGGCTGTGCTCTGGGAAATGAAGTGATGTTACTGTCTTTAAGAGTAAGAACATCACTTAACCTATCTATTACATCACTACTCCATCAATACAATTATCCCCAAGAACTATAAGGCACTAAAGAAAATTCCCTTCCTGGCCCAAAACAATGGCTGGATATGGTGCTCAGAACGACTTCAGACACTATCAACAGCAAAGGATTGCGCAGTCAGATCCAAAACACAAAGACTGAAGCAAAAACATAAAATCAACTATACAGAATAGATCCCAGCAAAGGGGAAAAGCACTAGCTTAATAAAGTTAATGCAATAATTGCAAAAATATCTTGCAACCAAGTGTAACTAGCCAATTAAGTTTCACCTACTAAAAATACCTATTTAGAATATGAAAGAAACCCATAAAGTTAGGTTTGGGACTATTGGGGTTTTCCTGTTGCTGTGTGTGTGTTTGTGTGTGTGTGTGTGTGTGTGTGTGTGTGTGTGTGTTATTTTCTCTTGTTTTGGTGGCAGTGGTGCTAGGGACTGACTGGGTGCTCTACCACTGAGCTTTATCCCCAGCGAATTTTATTTTGAGAGAAGGTCTCACCAAGTTACTGAGGCTAGCTTCCAACTTGCAATTCTGCCTCAGGCATCTGAATAGCTGGGATTACAGGCATGGCCACCAAACCAGCTGTCATTACTTTTTTATGTCATAAATCTGAACAGACATTTTCAGATTATAATAGAAATAGATAAAGTCAAATGTATAAGATTTAAAAGACAAAGAAGGTTCTAATGGAATTAGGGCTTTGGAGAAGCTCTTCAATTTGTCTACTAGGTGAGAGAAAGTCCTTATGGCACATGTTAACAAGAGAGGGGGAAAGTCTGTAACACCCATTTGTCCATCATTAGGAAAATAGATAAAATTTTGAAAAGGTGGTATTCCCAGAGTCAAATACTACATAGTAGCCAGAATGAATGATTCAGATTAATATATATTAACAAATAATTCTCAAAAACAATGTTAAGTGTAAAACGCAAGTAACTGAAAAATATGTACAGATTTTATATCATTTATATACATTTTTCAAAATGAGTACTCATAAATGTACATGTAATGCATGATTTTAAAACACAGATTGGTTGGAAAATTATGCACTAATTCATGATAGTTGTCTCTGGGGAGACAAAGGGAATGGGGTTATCAAGAGAATGCAGGACTTCTATTTTATCAGAAGTTTTATTTTCTTTTAAAAAATATAAAGAAAAGTTTTAAATGTAATACATTTGTTGATTCTCGTTGGTGGGTACACGGAAGTTCTGTACTCTGGTCCACTTTCTTTAAGCTTAAATAGTCAATACATTGGACCTTTCTTTGGCTTTATTTTATTCCAGTGAAATAAGAAAGGACACCCTGTGTCTTTGGAGGAATGAGTCTGTGTTCACACCTGTATGTGTACACACAAACACGCCTGAGACAGAGGAATGGCATTCTTAAGAATGTCACAGTATTACCACAATGAGCAGTTTTCTTTTTTTTTAAGCTGCACTGATTTAAACTTCAAGTTGTAAAACCCTATTATCTTAGTTTTCATTGAATAAGCTTTGTATTCTGTTATTCTTTTTGAGTTACAGAAAACTGCCAGAGAGTTCAGAGCCTCACATAAGCCTTCCCCTGCTGACATTAACACCCAGGATCTCTTTGTCTACAGATCAGCATGTACTCTTCATTCAGACCTCGCCAGTGTTCCAACTAACCTGCCTGTCAATTCTAGACGGTTCCATTTTTCAAAGTATTTCTTGCACTTTAAACTCCTAGACTAGGTACTTTGTTGCTTAAAGGCAAATGGTGTTAAAATACATAAAACTTTTCTTTTAGGAGGGCTCTGTGTGGGTAGCTTTATTTAACAATGGCCACATGTTGTTTTTGTAAAACAAAGAAAAAATAAACAAACGTGTTTTCAGAGGATAATACCACACAGTGCACAGGAACCACCCCCCATGCCCCAGCTCAAGCACCTGTTCCGGAAGCGTACCTCTTGTCTCTTTCTTTCTTCCTGGCTGACTGTCTGGGACAACCCATTTCTTTTTACCTAGGAGAGAAAGCAAAATAGAGTTGAACTCATTTACTTTGACAATTTCTTTATTACATAAAGCATAACTCTGTCCTCAAAAATCCATTCTGCAGCTAGGTGTGGTGGTGCAGACCTGTAACCCCAGCAACTCAGGAGGCTGAGGCAGGAAGACTGCAAGTTCCCAGCCAGCCTCATCCACTTGGTGAGGCCCTAAGCAATTTAGCATGACCCTGTCTCAAAATAAAAAGGCCTGGGGATGTGGCTCTGTGGTTAAGTGTTCCTTATTTCAATCACCGGCAAAAAAAAAAAAAAAAAAATCTGCACAACGTCAAATTAGGAGCTCTCAAATCCTCAGATTTAGTCACAATAATAAATGGGCACTGTTCAGCATTAAAGAACTAAAAAGTATGTACAACACAATTCTTTCAGGTTGAGCATTTTTGTTCCACTCTTAGTTCTGGATATTTCTAAAATAAGTTATCTAATTAATCTCCCAAATCATAAATTAGAAAATCAGAAAATGAGCAGCTGCTCTGGGCATGAACTGAGTCCACAGCTGACAGGAGCAGACAGGGTCTGCATCCAAGCCTGCCAGCCCCAAGCCAAGGGCCCAAGGTCCCTGCTCTCAGGATAACACCCCATCTCTGGTGAGGTACCAGCACCAAGACCCCTTTTCATGCCAGCTCTGGGTCCCCCCCTAACTTTGGATGGGAAGCCACACTCTTACCCCCCAGCAAATTTTCCATTTGTTATTTTTTTGCCCACACATATCATGGAATGTCCTCAGCCTCACCCTCCATCCTGACCCTGGGTCAACCTGTCAGCAGGAATTCATGGCAAAAGCCTTCCACACACACTTAATAAGGGGGGAGGCTGACAAACAGAATGAAACCCTACAGAGCTGCCTTTGCTGACCCCGGTGGGGACTGCACAGGATTTCCTGCCTGACACAACCTTGGCACAGGGACCTGCAGGCACCGTGTCCACAAGATCCATAGGTGAGGTCACAGCAAGGACTTCTGTGCCACTGGCATCTCTGTCCAGATGCAGCTCAGACCTGAAACTCTTCAGGGTAGGAGGATGAAGCACCTGGGCTCAGACACCTGCCAGGCACCAGCCCTGTGCTGGGGGATAAGAGTCTGGTCCCCCCATCCAAAGTCAGGGGGACCCAGAGCTCAAGTAGTTGATATTTTCAGGGAGAAGTCATTTGCAGAAGGTAAAGCGCTAGTGCACACAACCGTCACCATCTTTAATACTAACATGACAAATTGCAAAACACCCCTTCAGCCACACAGTCCCACTAACATCCCAGCAGCCCACACAAAACTACCAACCCTCATAAAAAAAAAAAAAAAAAAAAAAAAAGCGTTTTTTAAATATGATTTGGCAGCTGAACTGGAGCATATGTGGGGAGTCTGGGAGTTCGCTCTGGAGGGTTATGACAAAGCAGTCCCTCCTGGCTGGCTGCCGGGACACTATCCGGGCCTGTCCTCCCCGTCTGCCCTCTTGGCCTGGACCTTCCACAGTGTGCACAGGACAAAGAAAGAGGACTCATTCTGTCCTCCTGAGGCCCCTGAGAGCAGGTGTCTGGGAGCTCCAGGTTATGAGCAGGCTAGATGCCTTCAGAGGATGGGGCGTATGTGGAGATAGAGGACCCAGGAGAAAAAGCCAGCCCTGGAAGGGGGCCTTGGGGACAGAGCAGAAAGCAGAGAAAGCCAGAGGAGGAGGCAGCCACAGGGGACAGTGTCAAGTAGAGACAGACAGGGCGGGAAGGAGGGCAAGGGCCAGAAGAGAACAGGAGTTATTAACTGAGAAACACCCTCTGAAACCTCCCAACTGGGAACAGGGACCTGAGTCAGGACCATTGGAGGCCCAGGCTTCTTATGCATTATTTTTAAAGGTGTGTGTAAAAGTGTTTGCACCTACATAGTCTTAAAATGCAAATGCTTTCTGCAGTTTGCACGTCTTTGCTAAGAGAATCTAAAGTACTGTCGAGTTTAACATGCCCCAGGTTTTCTGTGGAAAAGTAAAAAACACACCAGCTTCTAACTCCTACCAGGCCTGTTGTGGTACCAAAAGTGAAAGAAAGTAAAATTCTTCAGAATAAGCTCACAGTATGAGATTCACTGCCCACGGTGTTTGAAAAATGGGATTCAGACCTGAGGCCAAACAGAGCCTCCTATCCCCAAGCTGAAAGCTGAACTCTTCCCCTTGATGCTTGCTGAACAATGAACTGGCCTCCCAGACAAGCCCAGAGGCCACAGGGCAAGCCTCCCACACAAGCCGGTGCAGGTAGTGTGCACCTGTAAGCCCAGCTACTCTAGAGGCTGAGGTGGGAGGAAGGCTTATGCCTGTGACCTTAAGGCCAGCAAGGGCCATACCCTGAGACCTATTCAGAAAAACAAAAACAAAAAAATCATATTGGAAGCTCCAACTGCATACAGATAGGACCACCCAGCCAGCCAAGCAACTCACTTGATCTTTCCTATTCCTTGCTGGAGTAAGGTGATTTAGGTACGTCCCCAACAAGTAAAACTGCAGAAACAGTCTATAAGCTCTAAGAACTCGACTCAGTTTGGGGTCCTTGGCTTTGGCATGATCTAATCAACCTATCAAGCCGTTCTAATCTAGCCATGGCAGACTCTAGACAAAGTGGAACACATGTCAGTTATCTTCAACGTTTAAACATTAATTTAAATAAAAGAACAGAATTTGCCAGACTACTATTCTAATCTGTTAAAAAATAGAAAGACCTATCTGAGGCCTTTCAAGAGAATGAATGCAGAGAACTCATTGGTGATGTCAAAGTTCTAAATTCTTAATTGTAAGATATACATTTGCTGTTGCAATCGGTATTAAAATTTTTCATCCATGATCTTTGAAACCTATGTATTTTGCATATTCAAATGAGACAGAAGTTAACAACTGACTACAGTTTAAAAACTTTTAGACGCTTCATCTAAAACTCATGCTAACTTCCTTCTTGATATCGCGTTGTATGGTCTGAATGTTTGTGTCTTCCCAGAATTCACATTCAAATCCCAGACCCTAGGTGATATTATTCGGCCACAGCATCCTTGAGGAGGTGATTAGATCATGAAGGTAGTGTCCCAGCAAATGGAATTAGCACCTTTATGCTTGCTGATTTGTTTTGCTGGTACCAGAGATTGATCCCAGGGTGCTCTAGCACTGAGCCGCATCTTCAGCCCTTTTTATTTCAAGACAGGGTCTCACTAAGTTGCTTAAGGCCTTGCTAAATTAGGAAACTGGCCGTGAACTTGTAATCCTCCTGCCTCAGTCTTCTGTGTCATTGGGATTATAGGCGTGTGCCACCAGGCCAGCTTGATTACTGCCTTTATAAAAATAGGCCCCAGAGACCCCTGGCCCTGCCACCATGTGAACACATGGCAGGAAGGAGCTTTGTATGAGCCAGAAAACAGCCCTTCACCACGGGTCAAGTCAGCTTGACTGTGCTCGGACTCCAGAACTGCAGGAGGAAGTCTCTGTTGTTCAGAGTGACCCAGTTGATGGCAGCTGTGGCAGCAGTCCATACTAGGGCATCTGCCAGTCTGAGCTTCACACATGACTGTCCCAGGAAGGGACTGACAGCCTCAGCCAGAGGCGCCATTAGCGCACCGGCCAGTCACTCTAAGCCTCTTTGTCTTGCAGAGAACCAGGTCAGGAGATCCACACACTGCTCAGTGTTCTCTGGCCCAGACAGAAACAGGTGACAAAGCCAAGCTCAGCCCCACACAGAATACCAACACCCTCTGCACCCAGCCTGTCTGTGCATAGAGTCAGTCCCTTCTCTATGGAGAGTGAGAAGAACAGAACCTCTTGGTGGATCAGATCGACATTTTCTGTGTGGAGAACAGGGCCATGTGCATTTCCGTAACTTGATGCCCTTTCCCAAGAAGATAGGTGTTGGTATTCCCCACCAGCTGGGGAAAGAGCATTCATGGGAGGACCCCCAGAGACTGAACAACCAGACTCAGAGACACAGCCAGTTATAACTGACACCCGCTGTATACAATGCAGGACCACTCGGGCTCCATACAGCACTCACTCACACTGGATACCCTTTTAAAATAAGCCCTCTCAATGTGCCTGGTTCACCCACTTGCTGAACATGAGCTGCTAGTTCTGGATGATGCTCCGTGATGAGACCTCTTCACCCTAGGGAGAAGGTACTGCAAAGTAAAATTATATCCCCGGACTCAACTTCAGACTCAACACAATCAGACTCATCCCTGAGTTACAGAAGACCTAGAGGTTATCACTGCAATTAACCTGGGTACAGCAACCATTTGAAAGTCTGTTGAACGTCCCCAAAATGAACAATCTGTCAGGGTCCAGAAATAGGGTCCTCTATAACCAGACCCCACAGGCTCGCTCTTGCCCCACTTCATCCACAGGGAAAGATCCTCAGACACCACGTGACCTAAGCTACGCTCCCAGAGAACATCATTGGGTCAGAGAGCTGTGTACGCAAAGGTCAGACAAGGTCAAGATAAGGAGGTGCATCATTCTTTCAAAGAACAGAGTGTAAACTCACAAAAAAATACATTAAAATCATATATTATATATAGATATATAGGAATGAACCAAGGAAAGGTAGAAAACACGGGCACATTTAACAAACTCATACAATTAATTTAAAATGCCCAGTGACATGCCTGGTTCATTTGTTCAAAGAGTCTGAAGTCTCTGATCTTCTGTTGTTCAGCTTAATTCTCCAACCCTACCCAAATTCTTGGATTTCAAGAAACAGCAAGCCCTCGGCTGCAGCAGGCACCATCAGGCCTAGCAGAACAAAGGTGAGCCAGGCAGAGCAGGCCGGCACTTCCGGGTGGCCACACAGATGTGAGCCAAGAGCACACACCACAAATGCGAAAGGAATTAAACATATGAGAACCTCGGCTGTGTGCATGACGGAGGTGACAAACCTAGAGCCTTCATCTGCAGCCAGTCCTCGCCAGCCAGCTCCACCTATAGCCAATCCCCATTTCTACTGGCCT